ATGTCTTCCCTTCACTGCTACATCACTTTTGGTTTTCTTTCTACCCATGTAGTCCTACTTTTTCTCTACCTCTTCAATAGGCTCACTGCCAGCCACTCAACATTGTATTTTAATATCTAGCAGACTCCTTGCCATCAAGTAGTAACTCAATAAACAATTAGTGGATGTATGAATGAATGAATGTATTCTGTATTGAAGAGGTACCTACTGCACTCCAGAGGCAAAACTTCTATTTGCTATTTGTTTCTACTACTCATTTGAAATATGCCCCTCTACTGTTGTGTATGAACCTTAAATCTTCTATATTTCTTGTCCTTTAAATTAGGTATTACATTTCTTTTTTAATATATATATGTGTGTATGTATATATATACGTATATATATTGCATTTTAGGTTTTGAGGGTACAGGTCAAGAATATGTAAGATTGTTGCATAGGTACACACATGGCAGTGTGTTTTGCTGCCTTCCTGCCCAGCACCTATATCTGGCATTTCTCCCCATGTTATCCCTCCCCAACTACCCACCCACCACAGTCCCTCCCCTAGTTTCCCCACACAGACCCCAGTGTGTGATGCTCCCCTCCCTGTGTCCATGTGTTATTATTCAACACTCGCCTATGAGTGAGAACATGTGGTGTTTGATTTTCTGTTCTTGTGTCAGTTTGCTGAGAATGATGGTTTCCAGGTTCATCCATGTCCCTACAAAGGACACAAACTCATCATTTATTAGGGCTGCATAGTATTCCATGGTGTATATGTGCCATATTTTCCCTGTCCAGTCTATTACCGATGGACATTTGGATTGGTTCCAAGTGTTTGCTGTTGTAAACACTACTGCAATGAACATTTGTGTGCATGTGTCCTTATACTAGAACAATTTATAATCCTTCGGATATATACCCAGGAATGAGATTCCTGGGTCAAATGGAATTTCTATGTCTAGGTCCTTGAGGAATTGCCACACTGTCTTCCACAAAGGTTGAACTAATTTACACTCCCATCAACAGTGTAAAAGTGTTCCTATTTCTCCACATCCTTCCCAGCATCTGTTGTCTCCAGATTTTTTAATGATCACCATTCTAACTGGCATGAGATGGTATCTCAATGTAGTTTTAATTCACATTTCTCTAATGACCAGTGATGATGAGCATTTTTTCATGTTTGTTGGCCTCACGTATGTCTTCTTTTGTAAAGTGCCTGTTCATATCCTTCACCCACTTTTGAATGGGTTTGTTTTTATCTTGTAAATTTATTTTAGTTCTTTTTAGATTCTGGGTATTAGCCCTTTGTCAGATGGGTAGATTGCAAAAATTCTTTCCCATTCTGTTTGTTGCTGATTCACTCTAATGATTATATCTTTTGCTGTGCAGAAGCTCTGGAGTTTAATTAGGTCCTGTTTGTCTATTTTGGCTTTTGTTGCCAATGCTTTTAGTGTTTTAGTCATGAAGTCCTTGCCTATGCCTATGTACTGAATGGTTTTGGCTAGGTTTGCTTCTAGGCTTTTTATTGCATTAGGTCTTATGTTTAAGTCTTTAATCCATCTGGAGTTAATTTTAGTGTACGATGTCAAGAAGGGCTCCAGTTTCTGCTTTCTGCACATGGCTAGCCAGCTTTCCCAACATCAGTTATTAAACAGGGAATCCTTTCCCCATTTTTTGTTTTTGTGAGTTTTGTCAAAGATCAGATGGTTGTAGATGTGTGGCATTGCCTCCGAGGTCTCTGTTCTGTTCCATTGGTCTGTATTTCTGTTTTGGTATGAGTACCATACTGTTTTAATTACTGTAGCCTTTAAGTATAGTTTGAAGTCAGGTAGTGTGATGCCTCCAGCTTTGTTCTTTTTGCTTAGAATTGATTTGGCTATGCAGGCTCTCTTTTGGTTCCATGTGAAGTTTACAGTGGATTTTTCCAGTTCTGTGAAGAAGGTCATTGGAAACTTGATGGGAATAGCTTTGAATCTGTAAATTACTTTGGACAATATGGCCATTTTCATGATATTGATTCTTCCTAACCATGAGCATGGAATGTTTCTCCATCTGTTTGTGTCCTCTCTTATTTCGTTGAGCAGTAGTTTGTAGTTCTCCTTGAAGAGGTCCTTTATAGTCTTTGTTAGTTGTATTCATAGGTATTTTATTCCTTTTGTATCCTGAGACTTTGCTGAAGTTGCTTATCAGTTTCAAGAGATTTGGGGCTGAGACTATGGGGTCTTCTAAATATACAATCATGTCATCTGCAAATACAGACAATTTGAAATTTTCCTTTCCTAATTGAATACCCTTTATTTCTTTGTCTTGCCTGATTGCTCTGGCTAGAATGTCCAGTACTAATTAAATAGGAGTGGTGAGAGAGGGCAACCTTGTCTAGTGCCAGATTGCAAAGGGAATGCTTCCAGTTGTTGCCCATTCAGTATGATATTGGCTGTGGGTTTGTTGTAAATAGCTTTTATTACTTTGAGATGCATTCCATCAATACCTACTTTATTAATAGTTTTTAGCTTAAAGGGCTGTTGAATTTTGTCAAAGGCCTTCTCTGCATCTATTGAGATAATCATGTAGTTTTTTTCTTTGGTTCTGTTTATGTGGTGAATTATGTTTATATACTTGCATATGTGGAACTAGCCTTGCATCCCCAGGATGAAGCCTACTTGATCGTGATGGATAAGCTTTTTGTTGTGCTGTTGTAGTCTGTTTCCAGTATTTTATTGAAGACTTTTGCATCTATGTTCATCATGGATATTGGCCTTAAGTTTTCTTTTATTGTTGAGTCTCTGCTGGGTTTTGGTATCAAGATGATGTTTGTCTCATAAAATGATTTGGGAAGGATTCCCTCTTTTTGGATTGTTTGGAATGGTTTCAGAAGAAACAGTACCAGCTCCTCTTCAATTCAGCTGTGAACTCATCTGGACCTAGGGTGTTTTTGGTTGGTAGGCTATTAATAGCTGCCTCAACTTTAGCCCTTGTTATTGGTCTATTCAGGGTTTCAAGTTCTTCCTGGTTTAGGCTTGGGAGGATACAAGTATCCAGGAATTTATCTATTTCTTTCAGGTTTACTGGTTTATGTGTATAGAGTTGTTGGTAATAATCTCTGATGGTGGTTTGTATTTCTGTTGGATATGTGGTGATATCCACTTTATAATATTTTATTGCCTTTATTTGATTATTCTCTCTCTTCTTTTTTATAAATCTGGCCAGTGGTCTGTTTTGTTGATCTTTTTGAAAAACCAGCTGCTGGATTTATTGATTTTTTGAAGGGTTTTTTGTGTTTCTATCTCCTTCAGCTCTGCTCTGATTTTATTTATTTCTTGTCTTCTGCTAGGTTTTGAGTTTTTTTATCTTGATTCTCAAGCTCTTTCAATTTTGACGATAGGGTGTTGTTTTTAGGTCTTTCGTTGCTTCTCATGTGGGCATTTATTGCTATACATTCTCCTCTAGACAATGCTTTAAATGTGTCCCAGAGATTCTGGTATGTTGTTTCTCTGTTCTCATTGGTTTTGAAGATTATCTTTATATCTGCCTTCATTTCATTGTTTATCCAGTCTACATTCAAGAGCCAGTTGTTGCGTTTCCATGAAGCTGTGTGGTTCTGAGTTAATTTCTGAATTCTGAGTTCTAACATGATTGCATTGTGGTCTGAGAGACAGTTATGATTTCCATTCTTTTGCATTTGCTGAGGAGTGATTTACTTCCGATTATGTGATCAGTTTTAGAGTAGGTGTGATGTGGTGCTGAGAAGAATGTACATTCTGTGAATTTGGGGTGGAGAGTTCTGTAAATGTCTATTAGGTTTGCTTGGTCCATGTCTGAGTTCAAGTCCTGGATATCCTTGTTAATTTTCTGTGTCTTTGCTCTAATATTAACAGTGGAATGTTAAAGTCTCCCACTATTATTGTGTGGGAGTCTAAGTCTCTTTGTGCAGAAATCTGTGCACAGATTCAGCTGCGCTGAAGGTTTGTGGCACTTTTTCACCCAGGAATCTCCTGGCCTGGCTCCCTGTTTCAGCCCCATTTTTATTAGTTGAACGGGCAACTCTGCCTTCTGGGCACTCTAGTCACCAGCTAAAATGGTGCCCGGATCTGTGAATATTTTGTGCAGAGACCCACCACGCTGACCGAAATAGCTGCACTGACTACCCATGGGGCTCCTCCACCTGGGAATCTCCTGGTCTGTGGGCAATAAAAATTTGTCTGGAATACAGCATCCACTCACCCTCCACGCTCTCACTGGGAGCTGCAATCCAGAGCTGCTCCTTATTGGCCATCTTGGATCCATCCTCTAGGTATTACATTTCTTAAGGGTAATGCACTGAGCATTATAAATTCTTATTATTTACTTTTAACAAAAACCTTTCATATAACAACAACATTTTCTTCAGTAGCATTGATAGTGCATGAAAAGAAGAGAGAGACTGAGAAGATGAAAAAAGTCATTCATTGAATTTATCCAGAAAAGTGTTTGAAAAATAAAAACCATTGGCCTATGTTGTTAAATGATAACTGCCAAGCCATCTTACAGATTTCAGACCCATAGATACTGCAATTGAAATAGATTTGAGCAATCATACATCCAACCTCTTCATTTCCAAACTAGACAATGGAAACTCAGACAGACAAAAGGATCTGGTACATGCAGCACTTTTTGTAAAGTAAAATGCATGTAACAGAAACACAGTTTTAGCTTATACTTTATTTAAAGTTTATTTCTGAAAATGGTAATGAAAACTTTTTTCTACCAGAAATAATTATTTCATAAGTCAAGGAAAATAAAACCAGGCAAGCAAACATATTTGGTACCCAAAGTAAGTTGGATTCTCTAAAATCAGGTATATTTCCCTGAAAGCTTTGGTATCTATGTAGAAAATATTTGATTTGGGCTGGGCATGGTGGCTCATGCCTGTAATCCCAGCACTTTGGGAGGCCAAGGCAGGTAGATCACAAGATGAAGAGATCGAGACCACCCTGACCAACATAGTAAAATCCTGTCTCTACTAAAAATGCAAAAGTTACCTGGGCATGGTGGTGTGCGCCTGTAGTCCCAGCTACTCAGGAGACTGAGGCAGGAGCATTGCTTGAACCCAGAAGGTGAAGGTTTCAGTGAGTTGAGATTGTGCCACTGTACTCCAGCCTGGCAACAGAGTGAGACTCCAACTCAAGAAAAAAAAAAAAAAAGAAAAGAAAATATTTGATTTGGTAGTAAGTAGTAGAAATATCCAAGTACTTATTACTTCAAATTGTTGTTTTCTCATATCCCTAATAATTAATTAAATTTACAAAGGGTAACCCTATCGAAGTAATGTTTATCATTATGCATCATTGTGAATCAGTGACTGCCACTCTTCTGAACTACCAAAAAGACTGAATCAGATGGAAGAAGTAAAAACTTCACTAAAAGTGCATTGGTGGGATGTTCTCACTTCTTTTCTGAAAGTGTGGATCCTGTATTCAATACAATTTCCGTCAGTGTTGAAATTCACAGGTGAATGAAGAGTTGAAATTCACAGGTGAATATCACACATCTGTACTGGAACAGCCTCACCACTTAAAAGGTGATCTGTGCTACCAGTGATACCTGCCTCCTTTGGAAGTTTGTCAGAAATGGGACCTGGAAATCTGTTCTTAAGAAGCCTTTAGGGCAATTTTTATATGCACAAAAGCTTTGGGAACACTGTACCAAAACACAAGTTTCTATAGCATCACCCATGTGGAGGGTGTGCTGATTCAGATGCAGTTTTGCTAGGCAATGGGAGAAAGAAATAGTGAAACGAGAATCATAAACTTTAGTAGAAAGGAAAAAAGACCCTCAGCTCATCTATAGAAGAAGAAGAAGCAATTTCAGAAAGTTCTGTTTTTTAAAAATCTGTTGCATGGGTCTATGTGTCTTTAAAAATTAAAAATGAACCCTTCGTTCAGGCCCTCCTTCCAGAAAAACACACACACTGACCTTGGCAGTTGCATTTCCTCCTGTTCTCATCTTTAAGCAGCCCAGCTGATCAGAGCTCCTCTTGCATTTACATTGCCTTAGTGCCTGTAAGTGTTTCCATTTTACTTACTTTGTGCATTTTTAATATCCTGTGAAGCAGCTCCAGGCATGCTGAGTTGCTGCCCACCAGTGTCCAAGGTACCTACATTCATTTTGTGAGTGTTCTGGTTATAAAATTGCCTAAGTTGTGTGTGGTCTCCCCAGCCCTATTTCCCCCAAGTCTTTTTATTTTTGCCATAGAATTTTACACAAAAAGTTTTTATTTTTCAGGAATATAAAGGTCGTGTATAGTAGAAATCCTAGTGCTGGTATAAAATGTAAATAATTTTGTCTATGATGAGCTTCATTGATAAAAACTCAAATCTTAACTTTCTTTGTGATTAATAGAAAAGTAACAGCTGCCATAAATGACTACTAATTAATTCAACCGATAGTTACCGTTAAATAATATGTATGTATACTCACACCTTACCTGAATATCGTTTTTGAGCTTTGTTCCAAGAGCTGTAACATCAGAATGAAAAACTTAAAAGTCACCTTATTTAAAATTTTGAGACACTTAGAAACACCTATTTTTTAAATCTAGATGTTTGCAAACACACAGACACAATTGAAAGAACACTTAATAGAAAAACTAATATAATGCAATTAACAATGTCTGTTAATAAGTAGGCACCATGAGGATGCAGAATTTACAAACTGAGCATTCCAGGCTAAAAAATATAGCCTGAAATAAAAATAGAAATGAAAGTAATATTCAATATTATATTTGAATCAATATCATTCAAAGAAAGCTACTAGTCATTTAGATCTTGTACATCAGAAAATGAAAACTATGTTTTTTTTTAAAAGTTATTTGTTCTGGCAAGAATATGCCATCTATATTTCTTTAAAATTTAAATTTTCTAATTAAAAAAAAATCGTACATATTTATTGGGTACAACATGATGTTCCGAAATATGCATACAATGTTGAACAGCTCAATCAAGCTAATTAAGATATGTATCATCTCACATTTTTTTTTTGGTAGTGAGAACGTTTAAAATCTACTCTTAGCTGGTTTCAAAATACACCACATTATTTTTAGCTATAGTCACCATGTTGTACAATAGATCTCTTGAACTTATTCCTTCTGTCTATAACTGAAATTCTGTATACTTTGGCCAACATCTTTCCAACCCCTGACCCCAACCACTGATAACCACCATTCTGTTTTCTAACTCTATGAGTTTAACACTTTTATATTCCAAATATAGATGAAATCATGTGGTGTTTGACTTTCTGTGCCTGGCTTATTTCACTTTACACAATGTCCTCCAGCTTCACCAATGTAGTCACAAATGACAGAATTTCCTTCTTTTATTGGGCTGCACACTATTTCATTGTGTATATATACCACATTTTTTTTATTCCTTTTTCTACTGATGTGCACTTAGGTTGATTCCATATCTTGGCTATTATGAATAATGCTGCAGTAAACATGAGTATGGTGATATCTCTTTGAAATATGAATTTCATTTTCTTTGGATATATATATAATAGTGAGTTTTATGATGTTAGGTTCAGTTTCATTATTCTGCATGAGGATATACAGTTTTTCTAGCACTGTTTATTGAAGAGACTGCTGTTACCTCATTTATGTTCTTAGCATCTTTGTCAAAAGTCAATTGAGCACAAATGTGTAAATTTATTTTAGGGCTCTCTTTTCTGTTCCATTGGTCTATGTGTCTTTTTAAAAGTCAGTATCAGGCTGTTTTGATTATAGCTTTGTAGTATATTTTGAAGTCAGGTAGTATGATGCCTCCAGGTTTGCTCTTTTTGCTCAAGATTGCTTTGGCTATTCAGGATCTTTCATTGCTGCATATACATTGCAGAATTTTTTTTTTTCTATTTCTGTGAAGAATGTCACTGGTATTTTGATAGGGATTGCCCTAGATTGCTTTGGGCAGTATGGACATTTTAACAGCATTAAACTTTGGATAGTATGAGCATTTTAACAATATTAAATCTTCCAATCCATGAACATGGGATATCTTGTCATATATTTGTGTCTTCTTCAATTCAATTCTTGTTTAGTTTACTGTAAGACTGGTCAGATTGATAGAGTATATATCATAATTTACTTGAAAAATAAAAGAACCATAAAATTTAATAGATCTAACAATCCAGAATAAATAGTTTTATGATTCATGGAATTAAGAATGTTTTGACAGGGTGCAATGGCTCATACCTGTAACCCCAGCACTTTGGGAAGCCAAGGTGGGCAGATCACTAAAGTCAGGAGTTCAAGACTAGCCTAACCAACATGATAAAACCCCGTCTCCACTAAAATACAAAAATTAGCCAGACATGGTAGTGTGCACCTGTAATCTCAGCTACTCAGGAGGCTGAGGCAGGAGAATTGCTTGAACCTGGGAGACAGAGGTTGCAGTGAGCTGAGATGGTGCCATTGCACTCTGCCTTCCAGCCAGGTTGACAAAAAGTGTTGGAGGCAACTGCAGAGGCTCTACAGTTTAATATTTTCTCCTTAAGTATTATTTAAAAATGTTTCTGACAGATAGTGACCCAGCTTTTTTTTTAACACAAACACTATATATATTTTTTGTGTGAGAAACTCTATTTGGGGAATACTTCATTTCTTAGTTCTTCCTTTCATTAAGCCAAAATATGACTTCTCATATTTTCTAGTTATTAATCCTAGCATTACTGCTTTATAATGTTACACTGATGAATCTAATTCTTTTTCCATAAATTGCTGCTTTAAGTGTTTTAGATAATTATGATTAGATTCCCCAGCCTTTAAATTTTCAACTGCCCATCATCTATCTCTATTTTTTTATTATAAATAATGTTCAGTCATTAGCACCTGCTAGCATATTTCTGAATGTGCTTCAATTTAAAGTCAATTATATCTAAAACTGCAGCATTAGAATTAAACACAAAATTAAAGATGGGACCTTTCTGATAGGGAGTACAAAGATTCTGTTATCTGCCTTCTTCTAGACAGTAAACTTCCATCCAATCTGTTTAGTGTTGGCTATTTTTAAACTTACAATATTATAATACTATTCATAAGTCTGTTATAGTTATCTGAAACCTCCAGGATTATTACTCGATTATTATAAATTATTACTGTGCTACTCACTTTCTGATACTGTGGAAGTTAATAGCAGTTTGTAATACTATTAATTATATTGAGACTGTCTTCTAACCCACCCTCCCCCAAAAACAACAATAAAAAAAAACCCTAAGTCATTCCTTGAGAAAACTTATTTTGGGCTGGTTATCTTCCCCACTCTTTTTCTTGGAAAGGGGCAATGTAGACAGTGATGTTTTCTTCTGCTATATTATTATTTCATGTGCATTACTTTACCTGCCTACAGAGATATCTGTAAAGGTCTTTACTAAAATCTTTGTATAAATAAGCATTTAAAGCATTTGCTCAGTCTATCAGTATAGTATTACTTGAAAGAAAAGAAAATGGAAAGAAAGGAATGAAGGGAAAAGGGAAGAAAAAAGGAGGAAAAGCAAAAATGTGTCAAGTTTCAAAAGATTTGATCTTAGTAAACCCTTGGCAGCCCCTAAAAATTCTTGCTTTCTTTCTAAGTATTAAATGGACAGTAATTAAAAAAGAAAAATATAGTTAAAGCAAACACACACACAAGCAAAAAGAAAACTAATAAAAAGCTGGTACTTTGTACAAACCATTACATTTCCAGATGCATAAGCTTGGTTAAAAACTTTGCATTCTTGTTTAATTTATTTTCAACATTTTAGTCGAAGAAGAATAGCCTTTGAGAAAAAGGATACACAAGTCATAGACAAGGGTGAACCTCTTGGATCTCCATTGGAAAGAGAAAGCCAAGCCCTCCCCCCAAAATTCATTTGACCACCACTTTTAGACAGGGAACTGAACTAAAAAAATGACTAAAATTGCAGTAGGCAGAAATACATTAGAAAGTAGAACTATATGCACTTTGTATATAGCCAATTATTTGTATTCTGAATAGCACTCATTGAAGGAGAACAAGTCACAGTATCATCATCTTTTCATTAGATTCCTTTCATTTGTCATTTTTGCCTTGGGACAGTCTGACAAGGCAATTAGGTTAGATAAAGTTTGTAATTTTATTTCTCAAGTAAAATTTCAAATACCTAAGATAATATTATACTTAGGATTATTAAGGACATATAAAACAGCATTTAGGTCTTGTTATCTGATTCTACATGTGATTCTTAAAGAACCCAGCTTTGCAAGATGACTGATCCAAGATGGCCGAGTAGGAGTAGCTCTGGATTGCAGCTCCCAGTGAGCTCATGGAGAGTGAGTGGTTGTTGCATTTCCAGATGGACTTTTACTGCCCACAGACCAGGAGATTCCCAGGCGGAGGAGTGCCATGGGTCTCCAGCATGCCTGTTTTGGCCAGTGTGGCAGCTCACTCAGAAAACTCACACAGGTCTGGGCACCATTGCAGCTGGCAACTGGAGCACCTGGGAAACAGAGTCATCCGTTGAACTGATAAAAAGGGGACTGAAACAGGCAGCCAGGTCAGGAGATTCCTGGGTGAAAAAGCACCATGAAGTCTCCACTGCAGCTGTTTCAGCTGGTACAGCAGGTCTCCACACAGTATCTCACACAAATCTGGATGCCATTTCAACAGGTGACTGGAACACCTGGGAGACAGAGTCACCTGTTCAACTGATAAAAAGGGGACTGAAACATGGAACCAGGAGATTCCCAGGCAGAAAAGCACCTCCAGCACAGCCTGCACAGCAGGTCTCTGCAAAAAAAAATCTCACACAAATCTGGGCATCTATTCAACTGGCCACTGTAATGCCTGGGAGACAGAGTCACCCATGCAACTGAAAAAAAAAGGGGGGAGTCTGAGGCAGGAAGCTAGGTGATCAGGCACAGCTGGTTCCACCCCCATGAAGACCAGCAATCTGAAATGCTATGGATTGGGAGTTTCACAGCAAGCACAGCTGAACCCGAGACAGTCCAGCTCTGTGGGGGAGGGGCATCTACCATTACCAAGGCAGTCCACCACTGTTGAGGTAGTTCGCCATTGCTGAGGTGATCCGCCATTGCTGAGGCAGTCCACCATTACTGAGGCAGCCCATCATTACAGGGAGAGTCTGCCAATACAGAGGCAGGCCACCATTGCTGAGGCAGTACTAACTATATCCCTATAAACAGGACTGCAGGGAAGTTCATGTGGCAGCTGGGCAGAGCCCACAGCAGATCAGCAATACCTCTACTGGCAGACTGTGACTAGGCAGCCACCTCACTGGGCAGGGCATCCCTGAAAAAAAGCAGCAGCATGACAGAAACTTATAAATAAAACCCTGCCTTCCCAGGACACAGCACCTGGGGGGGAAAAAAAGGCTTTTATGAGTTCTGCTACAGAAGACTTAAATGTACCTGCCCAGAAGCTCTGAATGGAATAACAGAGCTCACAGCTGAGCACTTGAGCTCCTATGAAGGACAGATGGTCTCCTCAAGCAGTTCCCTGACCCCTGTATAACAACAGAGTCACCTCATAAAGTAGAGCTCAGATTGACATCTGGCGGGTATCCTTCTGGGACAAAGATAGCAGAAGAAGAAACTGGCAGCAACCCTTACTGTTTTGAAGCTGCTGCAG